ATATGTTGGGTCAAATTTGTGTGGAGGTTGAAAAATACAGGGGGAGTCTTTATGGCCCAAAATAGTGATTTTAGTAATGTAATTTGTCAGACAAATTACAGTAATATTTTTAGCAAATTTCTTTGAAAAAATTTAGTAGGCATAGGGCCTAGCTAGGTATACCAGAATTTCATTTTACAGTAGTTTGGAACGATATCAGGAGTGGGGGTGGTGGCAGTGGCCTACTACTAGGACTACAATTTATTTGAAGCTATCTTGGGTCTGATCGTCCACACCAGTTGGGCCCAATCGTCTGTCACCCGAAGTTTTCATTACGATGATCAAGAACGTATACATTTAGGCCCTAGGCTAGGCTTAGATTGCTCTGCTACGTATACTATTACCGCATAACAAAGAAAGCAACCCACGCGGTGCATTCTTAAATTGTACACACATTATTAAAATGTATTAGACGATAACACGATATCACTGACTGAACGATCTACCACCCTCGCATCGCAGTAACTACTGTACTGAACTAGGCCACCCTCGCATCGCAGTAACTACTGTACTGAACTAGGCCTAGCTTAGGCCTAATGTTTTTGTGGAAAGTTAGATAGTCGTTATGTACCCGACAGTCGGCTGCCTTTATATCTTCACTTGTCTTCAATTTGTATTCAAAGGGTACATTGCTGCTGCATAGCCAACTGTCGGGGATATGGTACCTTCCTATGACTACTCCATAGAGATAATAATAAGAATACAGAGCGTTAACCACAATGTATTCGATGTTCGAAATACGCAGAACTGTGTGGGTACCATCCAAGATGGCTGCCATAGATTTAGCCAATCAAATTTCGCTAAACACCATCGTTTGCAATTGCGCCCTCAATTTACTCAGAGGGTTCAGTAGTACAGCTAGCTACCCTATGTTTGAAACTCGAGCGTTGCGGTGTTTGGGTGTAATGTACACGATTTTAATTTTCATTCTTGGTACTTTATTTTTGAATAAGATGCTCCACTTGGCCTCGTTTTGGCTACAATAGTTTAATAATTTGTTATTACCATTACTCATTATCATTAATGAAATAATAGTCAGTCAGAGGGCTTATTAATATGTAATAATATGTATACTAAGCCTGAAGGTGGCGCTCTACTACGACGGCCATCTTGGATGGTACACATACATAACTCTGCATTGCTGCGCCATCTTGTCAACACTCTAGTTGTTTAATAGCTCTATGGACTACTCATACAACAGAAAAAAACATCGCATGGAGTTAGTGAAAAATGGAGATCTAAATGAAAAAAAGATGTATTTCAGAAAGTATTAAAACCTTTTTGTTTTATTTTAGGCCGCCTTCAAAATACCTATGCCACAGCAGTTGATTTTTTTTGCCGTAAAACCAAAATGGTTTCATGCATGCCGACTTGCCGATCGGTTAGCGTGAGCCCTAACTGAATCTGCAGAAAATCCACATCGAAGTTCGCATCGCGATGTAAAACAAAAAACTTTTCTTTGACGCATGCGCATTTGCATAAATGTCTACACACATATGCACACACATACTACACACAATAAAAAACAAAAGAAATGTGAGAATGATTACAATAGTTCCTATTGCATTACATGTATAGGAACTAAAAAGCCCTGGTAAACATTTCTTTAATAAATGTCAGACTTTTGACCCGTTACAGAAATTGCAACAAAATGACTTGTTGACAGTATTTAAGCTGAATGCGTACCTCTAAATCATGCACAAAACTTTTTGACGTATACCAGCGTATGGCTCATACGTTCCGCATACGCGGTCCATAAGTTGTAGGTAAGTTAAGCGATCATTGACACACATTACTTGTAAGTTAATACTCAAAAGTCAAAACGTAATTCTAACCTATGAGTAACGTGCTTCGAACTTATCTCCAATGTATATTGATGTATGTAGACGTATTTAACATGTTCCAGATGGCGTATTAGCAGCATTTAGGGAAATAAGTATATTAAAATGGGGTGATGTCAATACGGTGATGTAGATACTGCGATGTCTGATGCGGTTTTAATATAAATCGACGAGCGACAGCTTTTTTATAGGCTACGTCACATGATCATCGGCGATACGCTGCGGCGCCCTGTGCTACTAAGGTAGTCGCTGGGCATAAGTTGTGAACTCCGGCAACACGCTTGAAGCATTCATTCGTGTAAGTTTTATATAAGTGATCAAAACGTTCTATATAAGTTACTACTATTTATAGCAGTAATAGTTACGCTGTTTATACATCCAATACGTTATTATGAATACGCTATGAATGCACCCAAAGTTGAAAAAAGGCATCGAAAATTCAGGGTATGCCAGCGTTTTAGAGAAATCTTGATACGTTTGGCATACGCTGAATAAATCGTCAAGGTGTGACAAGGCCATTACTATTACTATTTAGGCCTAGGCTAGGGGCCTAGGCCTAGATCTGCTTTATTATTTATTATTATATTATTATATTACTATTATTATTTACTATTATATTATTATTAATATTAATTTATTATTTTTATTATAATTATTATTATTATTATTATTCATAGTGATTCTTGTTGTAAGTCTTTGATATTATTTGGCCTCAGTGGTGAACCGTAGGCTAAATTACAGGGTATGCTTGGTAGGGCCTGCTAGGTCGGACCCTGCAGGGCCTGGCGGTGCAACACTAATGACATGTACTGTAGGTAGGTGTGGCGTACGCAGGCCCTGTCCTAGCTAGCTACAGTCTTCCAATACAAAAATACCAACAATTATGATACGAAGTTTCATTTGAACATAATTTACTATATAAATAGTCTATATTTACTTACAATAACATCATGATTACTCTTTAGTGAACCTGATCCTCCCTAACGTTTAGACGTGTTTTCATTTCCTTTATTTATTTCTACTCTCTCTAAGATAAGAGCGCGCCACCACTAAAAATGTTTGCGAAACTTTTATTTACAAGTGTGTAATCATAGGCTTACACAGCATCTTTACGAGATTTCAGTGGGAACCACCATTTATTTCTCATGCTTATGTACACATGATCTTCACCTGTCCACTCCAGTTGGCGTTTATGCAAACTTGAACTATTCATCTTTTGATTTGCTGTACAGCTCTGTACGTATTTTTACATTTTTTTTGGAAAAAAACCTGTTTTATGCACATATATATGGTCATGATGTGATGTCATTATGAATATATTTAGGCATGAAACATGTTTTTGTCAAACCCGGACTGGACCCTTCAAGAATTATTGATAACCATGTATTTGTGTTGACTGAATTTAGTCTACTTATAAGTCAGTTTTTTTAGAGAAACTATTTTAAGATAGGCCCATAAACTGGCAGCTATATAGGGCCTATATACAGCTATACATATAAACATGAAAATAAAATAATAAATAGGCCTAAACGAATTTCTTAATTTGTATATTTTAATAAGTTATTAGCTTTCGTCTGAAAATTATGAAAAATGTCCTTGTCAATTACCAAACATTTGCATAATACTATAATCTTTGTAATATAGGTAGGCCCATGCACTTAAATTTGCAAGCAAATTTAAAGATTATCATCATAAATTTAAAGATTATCATCATAATAGTATCATCATAAAAGATAAAAGTGTATCATCATAAAAGTTTTCAAGTCATTCAAAATTGATTTTTCGGTCTGTGGCTGAAATTTGATAACTTGGTAATCATCATAATCGCAAAAGTATACTTTGCCAAATCCACTGCAGTAATAATAGTCAAGACTAACATTATATTAGGCCTATTTGGTCATTTCAACTCAAGATCGCCATTATCATTAAAACAGGAGCCAGCATTTTCCGTTAACAGAATAAATAAAAATGTTGGATGCTCCGACATCCGGTCGTACTACAAATTATTATATTGGGGAACATATTTTTGAATAAGGTTATTTATTTATTTACTTATTTTTATTTTCAATCTTTCGACAAGAACAAATAAGGTTGAACAGGGGTGCCGAAGAAAAGCAAAAGCTATGATTTGATTCTTGATAAATTCCGAGTCTAAATATGGTGATATTAACTTCATTGAAATACTTAAAAGAATTGAAAGAATTTAAAAGATAGTACGATACGGTACTAAACTAAATGTGGAAGTCTTTTTATAGTCTACGCATACGGTTATAAATATGATTGTTTTTTTTAAGCGCGTAGGCCTAAGCCTACCACAAAAAATCGGACTCCGTCATCACACATCAAACCACAGATTAATAAAAATCATGATACTTACCTTAACTAAAACATCTTAAAGCTACGTAATACCTTATATATGTAGGATTTAGAATAGGAAATAATATTCAAATCAAGTTGTTGCTGCTTAGCCCATGAGAACACAAAATGCATAATATTAATAATAATAATCAAATAATAATAAGGAACATGATGATGAATAGTATCGAACATAATTCATCAACTAAAGTTTATTGAAAAAAAAAGAGGTCTATCGTGGGACTCGAACCCGCAATCACTATCTCGTCGATCTCCGTTAGACCACAAAGGCTCGTGCGATATTGTTACGAATTGAAGACCACACGTCACTCTCTTCCTTCATACAAACTTGAGAGCTTACACATATTGTGCGAACTTCAGCTACGTAATGGCTTATAGGTATACAGCTGGTAAAGTATATGCCAAAAATATATACAAATCATGCTGCTTACCACTTAGTGTATATATACGTGTATATATATATATATATATATATATATATATATATATAGTTCAGACCCTGTGTATAAGTCTCAAAGCCCAACGTATCTCATGACATTTTCTATCTTTGGTAGATTTATATCCATGGCCTATGATGTTATTAATAGTGTGGTCTGGCAAGTTGAAATGTTGACAGACGTTAGAAGTCCTTTTCTTGTTCCGTATACGAACGGAAAAATTTAATAAAATCTGGAAAATTTTTCTTTGTTCTTGAGTGTAATGTCCTAACAAAAGTAATTCAACAATCTTGCGTTTGCGCCTTTAGTGTAAATAATAAATAATGGTGTCACAGAACAACAACTAAAATAGGAAGAGGAAATCATGAATTACCAAGCATTGTGGTTTCCCCTTCATCATTAAGCCTACATTTTTTTAATTTTTGTTATCAACGATCTTTATAAAATTATCCTATTGTAATAGCATTTTAAAATGTTTGTAGAATGACAATAACTGATTTAGCAGTGGTTTGTCTGTCTAATGTCAACTATAGCACAGAATAAATTGGCGGCTTCTCGCCTTCAACAGGGGGACAATACGTAACTGAAGGCGGGGGATACGCTCCGGCTTCAGGTGGATACACAGCTCCAGCTGGAGGAAAGTTTGCTTGTTGTGTGATTTGTCTACCCTGAGGGGGATGAACGACTACTTGACCTTGTTGTGTTTGATCTGAAAAAAAAAAAAAAAAATTATTAATACCGTTCTCACAAGAGAAAAGGTGACGCCTCTTTCTGTTGTTTTTCGCTATTAAAGCTTGCTATAGTTCTTTTAAATATGACGTCATATCATCACATTTACTGCCACCAAAATCGAAAAGACCTTAAATAGTTATATACTTTGAGTTAAGTTCCGTATATTAAATTGTCACAAAAATGAGATTGTGTTAGATTTGCATACCTAAAGTAGGGCTACTGGTTTTGGTAAATACGATCTTCTTAAAGCCCGGAAGTTATTGGATTAGGTTTGTTTCAAAAATAGAAACTAATTTCAAGTTAAATAGAAAATACTTAATTTAAAACTGCCATTATACTTAAAAATCTATGCTTACGTGTCGTTACGAATGCTGTCCTCGTCGGGCGAACGGTCACGACAGTGGCGCAGAACACACGATATGTTACCATGCTAACAACAATAGCAACAACAATGACGACGCTGATAACAATGACGACAATGACTGCAGTGCTGAGGCTTCTAAAATAAAATTTAAAAAAATTATGACAAAAAAAAAAACAATGGGCTTTACATTTACTAAATAGTTACTATATAAATAATTATACAAGCAACACGGCCCAAAATGTTATTATAATAATAACGTTTAACAATAATTGTAGGCCTACTAAATTATTTTAAAAATAGTTAGGTGAATAAAAAGTTCTAAATAATCTTGTTCCACTTTTAGTGACACGTTTAAAGGTAAACATATGCGCTTACTATTATATGTATTTGATAAATAACTAAGCACATTGAATGATAAACACGCCAAGATGATAAGCATGTTAGACTACTGTATTCCTGAGCGCGTTTAGCTACGTGCCACCAGAAAAGCTTGCGGTATACTATGGAGCTTCTGTTTTACCCCTCCAATAAATACAGTGTTAAAATATTTTTTGCACTTTCTGAGGAGCCCTTATTCAAACGGGGCGTTTATTTAAACGGGGCGTTTATTTAAACGGGGCGTTTATGAAAACAGAGTGTAAATTGAGGGGTTCTTATGGGAAATTATTAAATTCAAGAGGCACTTTTTGAATGAAAAGGACATTACGAATGGTGGTTAGGCGGAAAAGATAATCCTCCAGAGAACATGGCTCATGACAAGAATGCGTGAATATTTACATAACAGCAAAATAGCAGATGTAATTAGTGGTGGTGGGTAGCGGCTAGCTTGTTGGCCACGGCCGATTGAGATTAGCAGGATGGCAGGATCATTGTATTTTTTCTTGAAAACTCAGATGAGAATGTGCTAAAGGTCGGAAAAAGAAAAAGAGGAGTAGGACTAGGCATAGACAAATATGTAAAAAGAGTAAAGTTGGAAATATACTGTCTGTCCAGGGATCGGAGCTCTCATCTGTCCAAGAGATATATCCTCATTTTGATATTGACCTAAAGAAGAATGCGTGTTTCCACTCTGCAGCTCAAATCATGCCAACAACCACAGTCCTAGGATCGATTGGCTAAAAAGAAAATCTTATGACATTATTCAAATTAGAAGAGAGCGCTTATTCAAACAGGGCGCTTAAGGAAATTTTCACGTTAGGAGGGGCGGTTATTCAAACGGGGCGCTTATTCGCGCGAGTACGGTAACTCTAATTGTGCTTTTACTGTTCCTCTTCTAGCATGTTGAGCTAAATAAAATTTATTAGAATTATGTTGTTTATTGAATTGCTTTACTAGAGTATTTTTCATGAGAGAGGCCATTTTAGAGTCAAACAAGGACTTATCAATGTACCGTACTTAAGTAAAGCCCTGTCCAGACTAACAAATTATATGTGACATGCCTAAATATGGTCATTATGACACCACATAATGACCATTTATAGGCACATCATGACTATATATAGGCATACAACAGTTTTTTTGTCAAAGAAAAATTGATAATCTGTACAGGGCTTAAAACTACTTACGAAGCAACGGTATTATAGAATTCGTAATCATCCGAATCACAGCAGTAGTAGAAGCCAGGTTCGCCGCAGCAATAGGAATCTAAAGTGAAGTAATCTGAACAGATCAACTCCAGATAGCCATTATCATCATAACAGTAATCAGCATTCCCTGTAAAATAGAAACAAAACTAAATGACAATTTAATAATACTATTAAAATATGATAATGATAGACTTAATAATTAAAAAAAAAAACTGTTTTGCACAAACAAATAACCCAAGCACCACATAGCAATAACAGGGCGGTTTCGTAAGCTTACGAAAACGATAACGAATACTGTTACGTCATCATTTTTTTTCGTCAATCTATCCACTACACACTATAAAAACAGCGTGGAGCATTTAAACACAAAGCTCCACGCAATGTTGTCCCGTTTTGGTGACACGTTTAAACGCTAAACGTGTTTAGACATAGCTTAATGTATTTACGATTTTGACGCGTTTAGCATTTAAAAAATGTGCTTAGGTATTTGACGTAATGATGTCAAATACCTAAGCACATGTAATGCTAAACACGTCAGAAACCTAAATACATTATAGGCCAGACCTAAACACACCAAAACGGGACAACATTGCGTGGAGCTTTGTGTTTCAATGTCCACGCATAAAAGTAGCCACTTCAAGCTTTTTACATGAATCAACGATCATATTCAACAACTCGCGACATGTGTATGTGTGTTTTAGACACCAAATTGACGTATACGTCGTTATCGTTTTCGTAAAGTTGCTAAATCTCTAACTAGGCTGCAGCACATAATAATTTTTAAAATATCGTTGAGCCTTCGACGCAATCTTTCTCGCGCTTCGCGCTCGTAACTGGGGGCCCAAATTAACCCTTTCACCTGTTACAGTTTCCCCTCTTGGCGGCCCTGGTTCTTAGCTAACTATCCGGGGATGGGGGCTTAGCGAAAAGGTCTGTTATGGGCTTGAATTTAAACTGAAAGTGTGCAAAGAATCGGATGAACCTCTCTACCTTGTTTTGCTCATTTCTAAGTTTTTCTGTTTAAAGTAAAGGAGGTTATACCAACTACTATTGAGTTTAACATAAAATTAAAATAAAGTACTTCCACAGAATTAAAATGATATTTACAAAAGAAAAAATGTTTTAAAACATTAAATGAGAATGTTATAAATAAGGAATGACTAATGTTTTACTGTTATTTTTCCTTTTGCTTTGAATGTCTTTGTCATGCTTTTTGAAGTTGAATAAAAAAAATTGGGAAAAAAAGGTCTGTTAGCATCCGGTGTATTTAATTTAATTTTTTTTTGCATTTAATTTCATTTTATTTCAAACAACGCAAAAATGCATTATAAAATTCTTCTGAAAATTAAATAAATAACAAATAATAATAACAATAATAATAACAATAATAACAATAATAATAATAATAACAATAATAACAATAATAACAACAATAATAATAATAATAGAACGGTTGTGTGAGGATACAAGAAACCATTATAAATAAACAATTAAGTCTGTGCCTCCAATTAGCTTAAAGAACATAGATAAAGAAAAAATATAATAATAATAATAATAATAATAATAATTATGATAATACGAATAATTAAAAAAAAAAAAAATCAGTGGCAGATACAAGAATTTTAGATAGGGTGACCAGAGGGACCTTTACAAACAATGAGTCCAGACAACCTCAACTAAGCCCCATGGTTGGGCTAAAATACAACATTTTAAGGCTACGGCTTAATGACCGAAAATGGCACTCTTGAGACTTGGATATGAATATAGACCTAATTCTTTTTTCCCAATACCGTACTCGCGCGAATAAGCGCCCGGGCGCTTAGAATATTTTTTGCACTTTTTGAGGGGAGGGGGTGGGGGTTATTCAAACAGGGCGCTTATTCGAACGGGGCGCTTATGAAAACAGAGTGGAAAGGTTTTCGAGAGGTTTATATGAGAACTTATTAAATTCAAGAGGCACATTTTGATTGAAAAACGATTTTATAAGGACATTAGGAAACCGCAAATTACGAATGGTGGTGCGGCTGAAAAGATAATCGTACAGAGAGCATGGCTTGTCATGACAAGGATGTTGTGAGTACAGTATTACCATGGAGGTATTATTAGCTTGGTTCACATCGGTTATTGTCGATATAAGTAGATAAACTATTGAACAGCGCTACACTCCTAATTGCGTTCGATGGTCCGAATTATGTCGAGATACCTTGCTGGACCAACTACGCTCACGAGAGCGGCGGTTGTGATCCCGGTGTGACCAAGA